GGCTTGAGTTGATTTTTTAAATAATGACTATGGTTGGGGGAGAATTGCTTTCAATATAGCAAAAATGTGGTGGTGTATTCTTAACTGGATTATTATTACTTCAATAGCTTTGGTTAGTTGATAATTTAAATATATTCATCATAGTCAGTAACTATGATTTGCATCTCTGTTTTGTATTAGTTGCTGTTGGAATCGTTAGGGAAAAAAGTGAAACCATAAAACCCAAGAGAAAATTTAATAGAATGAATAAAACCTAACAGAGCCAAAGAGGTAGCAGAGGAGAACAACAACAACAATTGATATGTCAAGGAAAGTATTGAGGTTGGATTCTTTAACTAATAGAATATACATTAAATACCCAGAGAGGTGAATGAAATACTCAAAGTTACCCCCAGATTTTAACCACGAATGGCTCATTGCACTTTCTCCACCAACACCACGAAAAGTACCTGCTGTGACCCACCAAAAGAAACATGTCATTCAATACAGTAGGGCCTCTGTGAGAAGCCAAATCTTTATGAAGCAGAATGCTCAAGGAACTGCAYGGGGTGTGTGTGTCTTGACCTGGTCCCTCTAACCCCAGGCATGTTTCACATTCAATCCCAAAGGAAGACTAGCAAATGCATCCAAATTCATCAGATTATATAAATGTGTGTTGAGAAAGAGACTCATTCCCTCTTTAACATTATAGAGAAAGAAAAAAGGAAAAAAGAAGAACTGTACACAGAGACAAAGGACACATGAAGTACTACACATGAAAAAGCTGGTGAAAATATGAATAAATCTAGGAATGTTTATTTACTTTAAAGTGAGGAGTTAAAGTCCATTAGTAGTGCTATGTTAATTGCATTTGAAACATAATTCTGTGTCAGATAATTTATTGCCACAAACATTCAGGAGCTATGGTAGGGTGTACAAAAAGTGATGTTAGTGAAAGTTCAAAAAAGCACATAATTTTATTCATTATTCAATCTCTCCATCAATGGAAACATTAGGCCTGGGATTAAATTTTGTAATTTTGTCAAGAGCCTGGCTTTCAAGTAAAAGTGTAAATGGTGAAAATTGGTAGTTTCACATAGCTCTAAGCATGATGACTTTGTATGCATGAAAGGACAAGGGACAGATTCAAGCATTTGATTATCCATGCATTTATCTGTCTTTCTTCATTTTTCTTCTGGAGGCCTTACAGTGGACTTCATAACCAAAAGGTTTTCAATCATGTGTAATTTTAAGGAGAAAAAAGTGAAGTGCAATCATATATAATATGAGATAAATTATGACAATCTCTTCTCCAGAGAGGTTCACATTTAGCCTAAATTTACTCCCCGAAAGTCTGGGACACACATATTGATGGTAGTATTCCAAGGGTCAGAGGGTGAGAATGGAGAGCTGTGGGGTATCTAAATGGGAAGAGTTCATGCCTCTGCTGACCATTCAATGTTTGTGGCCACACTTGATGGGACTAAATGGTCATGGAAGTAAAGTGCCAAGAACACAGAGACCATCATTGTTTCCCCATTATGTTATCTCCCCTGCTTCATCCTAACACCTGAATCTCCAGACAATTTCTGGAGCAGGAGTGGGTGTAAAAGGTGACCTGTTCACAGAAATCCCAGCATTTTAGAACAGGTCTCCAGGGCACAAGGAGGAGAGGGCTGGTCAAGCTGCACTGAGCATGGAAAGGTGGCTTAGCTGCAGAGACAGCAGTGTCCATCGCAGGGCTGCTGAGGAGCTTCCTCTTCCTTTTGCCTCTCCTTATATCCACATCAGCCATGCTGGGGAAATACTGTCTCTTCATGCAAGTCTGTTTTCTTTACTGGTGTTGCTGAATTGACATCTTTGACAATTTAGGAAAAGTTTATTTTGGCCCATGGTTTCAGAGGTTCAGTCCAACCTCAGCTGACTCCATGGCTCTGGGCCTGAGGTGAGGGAGAACACCAAGGCAGAAGGGCATGACTGAGGAAAGCACTTCAGGACATGGCAACCAAGAATCAGAGAGAGCTCTGCTCACTGAGGACAAAATATGGACCCCAAAGGCACTGTATCAGTGAACCACCCCCTCCAGCCATAACCTATTTGCCTATAATTACCAGCCAGTTAATCCATTTGAGTGGGTTAATCCACGGATCCTGTTACAGTTCTCATGATCTAATGATTTCACCTCTGGACATTCTTGCTTTAATTCACAGGTAAACTTTTGGGGCATATCTCGTGTACAAACCATAACAGTCTCCCTCATCTTTCTCTTTTCCTTCTGATGCTGCATAGGAAGAAATGAAAATGACTTTACAGGAGCAAAAGTAGTTGGATGGACCCTTCATTTTATAACCTGATTTATAAAATGACTTCACCTGCTTTGCTTAATTCCTGATAAAAAAAATATTCAGCAGTCATTAATTATGTTTTTGAGTCTCTGTTATGTGCAAGTCACTTTCTGAGGCACTGGAAAGCAGAGTGGGTGAACATATCAGATGAAATCCTGCTCTGCTGGACTCAAAATTCTAATGAGTGATGATTAACAATTAAAATTTATCATTATAGGTAGGTATTAATGTTAGAAAGAAAAGCACTTCTATAAGCTTGGGGAAGCAAGTCTGTATAAATACACCTCAGGTGTAAAATAAAATCTGGTGATACATAATACAGTAATTCTTTTCAACGTACTTCTAAGCTTTATTTCCCAGTTGTAAAGATGTCTATTACAACTTCAATACTTTTCTTTTTAGACAGGAAGATGTCAAGGTAAAAGACTGGGCAGTCCTGAGAATGGGAATAGCTCCAGACCCTGGTAACTGAAGTAGTTTTCATTGTGTCTTGTGGATAATTTGTTAGAGTAGTAATAATGAGGTATATAATTTTCTAGTGCTGTGAAACTATTTACTAAGAACTTAGTGGCTTGGAACAACACGTGTCATTTCAGGGATTTTGTGAGTCAGGAGTCTGGACCTGTGTGAGTTGCATGCACTGCTAACAAATTCTTGGTCAAAGTGCTGATCAGACCACATTCTTACCTGGCATTGGGGGTTTTCTTTCAAGCAACAGTCATTTTTTGGCAAGATCCAATTCTCTGCAGCATCTAGAGAGTTGAGGCCCTGACCTTCCTTAGTTTCCACATGCACTTACTTCTTAGAAGCAAAGTTTTTCCTGTGGCCTTAAATCCAGAGTCTAACATAATGTAGRGAATCACAGAAGTGACTTTTCCACTTTCTGTGACCTATCATGGAAGTGACATTCCACACCCTTGTCATATTTTTATAGTCAGAAATAAATGAGAGCTCCTTCCCACAGTCAAGAGGAGGGAATGATACAATTCATGATCTCCAGGGGCCAGGAATCATCAAAATCATGCTAGGTTAGGTCTACTACATGGAGAACCTGCAAAACATAAAGCAAAACAACTTTTTTTTTTCAGCAATAACTCAGTGGAACTCACGTCAGGATATAAATACTGCTATTCTTTAGTTGTCATCAAATTAATCAGGAACAAACATCAAAAAAGAAAAAAATATGCAATTCAAAATAACCAATTCAGCACCTGAGCATTGTATTCTTTCCTTCCCAAGATCCCAATAAAATTTTTCAATAAATGGTCAGATCATTTGAGAAGAAGGGGAAGGACCCTTTAATGGGAAAAAGAATTTAACCATACTGCAAAAACCTGGTGACAGGTGACAAAGATCATAAATAAGTAAATAAAATGAAGGTCTATCAACAATTAATAAAAATATTTTTAAAAACTAAAAATAAAAAATTAAATGGCAATTTTGTCAGTTGAGATAAGGAATTCATAACATCTTAAATCTAGTATTCAGTTTTAAAATTGATAGCACAGGTGATTCTTTTTTTTWAAAAAAAATGTTGCTTTAGACGGACACAATACCTTTTTTTATTTCATTTATTAATCTTTATGTGGTGCTGAGGATTGAACCCAGTGCCTAACACATGCCAGGCAGTATTCTACCACTGAGCTCAAGCCCAGCACATGTGATTTTTAATATTCAAATTTATTAGGTTTTTATGTTGGCTTTTTGAATTGAAATKATTTTGATAAACTTTATGCTGAAAAAGGTTAATCTCTAGGTGAAATTTTATGACATTTTATAGTATGTGTCATATCTTTACAATCCCTTTTCAATTAAGATTTTAATCTTATTATTTTCCTTCATATGGATATAAGAATGGAAGAGATATTTGACTGAAATATAGGAAATATAGCTCACCTTTTTATATTCCTTGGGGGGTGAAGGCTGGAAGATGTTTTAAGTGTCACATAACAACCTGAATTAGTTTCGGTGGCTAAGCTGGTGGGTTAATAGGATCAGTGTACTCTCCACAAAAAGTTTATATCAAAGTCAGATGAGTGAACAAATGAAAATGTAAATGCTGTACAGACACAAGAAAGAAATATATCTAGCACTGATATTTTCGCTCCTTTGTATAGTTTTGTTTCATAAGTCAAGCAACTCAATTTCTAGGACTTTATGTTAAGAAACTTTTGTTGTCTTTCCTTAATGTCAGTGTTGTAAAATCTTAATGTGTTATTTACACTTGTGCGATTTTTGCACAAGTATAAGGTATTATACTTAAACTACTATTAACTGAGGTTTTTCCCCTAGGATGCCAAAATCTATGTATTCACATGCCTTTTTATACTCATAACTATATTCCCATGTGGTTTCTGAGAAGGACTGTTTAAAAAATCTGAAGCTCTATTACGTAGGTTCAATGAAAAATTTGATCTCTACAGAGGAAGAAAAGTCATAATTTTACCATATTTTAGAGAAAACTGTTACCTCTAAGCAAGGAGGGATGGTAATTTTCTTTAAGCATGGTTTTAAATGAACAATTTAAAAAACCATCATTTGGTCATTACAGGAGATGTTTACTATATTGGGTCAATTGATACTTATTCTTAATGGTTAAAAATTATATATAATTTATATATATATATATATATATATTCATATATAATTTAATTTGGGGGACTTTTCTCTAAACAGTGTCACTACAGGACATCAACATGAAAAAAGCTTTCAAAAGTTCTACAGTTCAAGATCAGCAGGTGGTTTCAGAGAACAGCATTCCTAATCCTGTTGCTGACATTTACAACCGGAGTGATAAACCTCCACCTCTGAACATCCTGACACCTTACAGGTATGGCTTCCCACATCCTCAAAGTGTTTTTAGTCATTGTGGATGGAGAGTTAGTGTTGGAAACACACTATGTACTGGATATAYCCTGGATAGCTCATTTGGGTTAAAATAATTCTTTCAAACTTTCAAAACAATAATACTCTTGAAATTAGTCCCTGGCACTGGATTACTAAAGTTCTGGTATTTCAGGATACATATCACTTACCAGAAGAAGTTTGAACTCTGATTTTAACTCTTAGACTTGGATCTTTTAAGTGGAAGTGGGCATTTTACATAATGGCTTTATGTGTGATTATCTTGTTGTTACTTATGTTCAAAGCCACTTCAAAAGCAGCAGCACAGTTTATTTATAATGCAGCAAAATAACTGTCTCAGCGCTTTAGCACTGCAGAGACATTTATTATTAATTCAGAAAAATGTATTCTACAGTGTTAGGGGTTTTTAAGGGTGAAAATAGAGTCACAAAATTAACTTTCTGTTATTGTTAAAATGGTAAAATACATTATAAGGACCAAATTTCTAAGAAAAAGGACAGAAAAATTTTAAAGGCTTCTTCCTCTGTCCTCCATCTTTGTTCCCTGTATTAGCTTTTTATTGTAGTGACCAAAATACTTGATAAGAACAAGCTAGAGGAGGAAAGACTTATTTCGGCTCATGGTTTCAGAGGTTTGAGTCCATGATCAGCCTTCCATTTCCTTGGACCTGAAGTGAGGCAGAGGATTGTGGTGGATGGGCATGGCAGAGGAATGCTGCTCAGTTCATGGATACCAGGAAGMAAAGAGAGAAAGGAAGGGACTGGGGGGAAGATAAAACCTTTTAGGGCACACCCACAATGACCTGCTTCCTCCAACTAGGTACCACCTCCCAAAAGTTCATTTAACCATCAGTGGATTAGTCCACCTATGTGGTCAGACCCCTCATGATCCAGTMACTTCTCAAAAACCCCACCTCTGAATACTGCTATATTGGAAACACAAGACACTGGGGGACATTCTGGATTCAAACTACAACACTCTTCTCTTTGGAGGCCACTTGTTTCACCTCTGCCCAGCACAGATTGTGGAAATCAGTGGTCCTAGAGTCAGTGCTGCCAGATGATGCTCCCACAGGGCCTTGGAGAATACTGTGTGTTCTTTGTATGTGTCACTGCCTTGACATTCCTGCCTGCAGGGCCTCCTCAGGGAGAGCTTAGAGTTTCCCCAGTCTCGTTTTCCATCCTTTCTGGGATCAACAAGGCTTGGAGATACCTTTTATCACAGCTCTATCAGGATAGGGCAGTTGAAACTGAGTCCCTTTTTTCCTACATAGACAGAAAAGATTCTCTCAAAACAAATGTAAGAGCTCCCTATAAACTGATGGGAGATGAGCAGGATTCCCCCCTAAGAAGTTTGTATAAAAATGGAACAAGTATGCTTGCTGGAGGTTATAGGGCACAAATTTTTAAAATATATGATACATATGAATAAAAGCATGGTAATCCTGGTGTATTGGTCAACTTTTGCATTCCTGTGACCAAAAGACTGGACAGAAAAAACTTAAGTGGAGGAAATGTTTACTTTGGCTCATGATTTCTGAGGTTTAATCCATGGTCAGCCAACTGCATAGCTCTGGGCCCAAGATGAAGCAGAATATCATGGCATAACAACATGGTGAAGGGACATGGAAACCAGGAAAGAGAGAGAACTGTACTCACCAGGGACAAAATATAAACCCCAAAGGTACACTCCCAGTGACCTAGGTCTTCCAGTCACCTACTTGCCTACAGTTACTGTCTAGTTAATCCATTCCAATGGATTAATCCACGATTAGGTTATGTCTCCCATAACCCTAAACATTCTTGCATTGTTTCACACATGATCTTTTGGGGGACACCTGTAATCTAAACCATCACAGCTAGTATTTTTGTGACTGCTTTCATTTTTTAAATATTTTTTTTGTAGTTAAGATGGGCAGAATGCCTTTATTTGTTTATTTTTATGTGGTGCTAAGTATCAAACCCAGTGCCTCACACATACCAGGCAAGTCCTCTTCCACTGAGCTATAACCCCAGCCCCTTGTGACTGCTTTCATTTGATAAATGTTTTTCCAGGACAATTTCAGTTTTATTTAGCACTGGCAGCCCCACTATAAACACTGTAGTGTGAGGGCTTGCTTATTAGAATTCTCCTACCTGATATTATTAAGGAAGCTCACTAAAAATTCTGTGTTAAAGAAAATAATCCAGAATATCCAATGAACCACATGTATTTGACTAATCAAGATCATTATTAAATATTTGTAGTGATTTAAATTTTAATTGCATAAAATGATTTTATATATTATTATAATGTACATAAAATACATAATGTGTACATATTCAGTCTTTTGGAAAATAAAGCATGTCTTTGGTTTTTTAATAATGTGTTTTAAGATTAGCAGTGGCAGCCCAAATCTACTTTTCATTCGTAATTGAGATACATAAAACATAAAATTACGCATTTGAACTTAAATGTATCACTGTGACATGATGAAATGTGGTTAGATGATGATAAACATTAGACATATCTGCTTTTAGTCTTAAGTCAGGATTGGCATTTGTTTACTTCATTGAGCTTCTATCTTCATTAGAGTATTAACTGCATTTTTAAAAGCAAGAATGTGCATTTTAGACATCTTTAACTTTTCAGCAAGTTCCTCAGTTTTCCTATAATTCTATATTCAAGGCCTTAGTGTCTTAGGGAACCAAATTTGCTTTTTCACAATTATGTTACTAGTAAAATCTCTATCATGCAAGCTGCTTACAAATTGGGAAACTATAAGAAAGGAAGGATGTTAAATAATCCAAGGTTAAAGTATATATAGAAAGAGTTGCACTGGTTTGTTAGTGATCTTCAGACACAGTGACTAGAATAGCCATGGTAGGAATATGGGCCTTAGCATTTTATAGTGAGAAGCCTGCAAGAGATGACGTAGCAGGAACTTTAAGGATAGACCTTTTCCATTTTTTCTTCCTGTGTTAGCTTTCTTTTCTTGGGCATAAGCTCTTTCCTGTCTATACTCATTTAACTGATTTTGCATCTCAGTACCTTAAATGACTTACTGAAATATTAGTATGAAGTATGAATGTACTGCTTCCTCTTGGGAAGTCTACAGGCCACATGCTTTTTAAAAACGTTAGTGTTATAGAGAGTTTACTTTGCATCATGATTTTTTTGAACATTCCTATTGATTTATATTACACTTTGGATTCATATTGGCTACATTGTTCTTGGTTGCATGATAAGTGAGTAATTTTTATGAGGTCTTTGAAATATTCCTAAGACCACAGTATTTGAAGAAGTACTTGACACTAAAATGACCACAAGTGAATGAACTTGCTTTGAAAATATATAGTTTATAGCTTTTTTTCCTAGTTACAATTATATCCCATGAAAATTTTCTTTGCTGATTGAATTTACAGATATTGGGCAACCTGGTTGAGAAAAAGAGACAGCACTTTATAGTTTTTATTCTAATAATATTGAAGCTCAGAGTAGAAGTAAATGTATCTGTATAAGAGTCCATTCATCCCTGTGTATACCTCCCTGTTGGAATAAACAAAATATTTCCTGAAATATWAACACTCAGTATTCATGAGCTTCATTGTGATTTTTACAGAGCAATTTTCTATTCTTAATTCTGAATGTGCAAGAATATTTTTGTTATTCTGGAACATGTTGCTGTTTGTACATTTTTCCACATTTTTTCAAAAGGAAATTTAGAGAATTAATAATGTATATGATAGTTAAGATATCCTCTTCAAATATTACAATGCCATGAGTTAAAATTAAATTCACATTAAGATGTCCTCTGCAAATGTTACAATGCCATGAGTTAAAATTAAATTCACATTAACATGCATATGAAAGTATCTAACAATCTGTTCCCCCTTACTTTTAATACATTGATTCATAGAGATGATAAGAAGGATGGGCTGAAGTTCTATACTGATCCTTCCTATTTCTTTGACCTATGGAAAGAAAAAATGCTACAGGATACAGAAGACAAAAGGAAAGAGAAACGGTGTCAAAAGGTAAGTAACCCCACTGTGGGAATGCTGCATATCACTGTGGATTTGGKATTCTTGTTTAGAAGTAAGTAAATCACTAAGTGCTTTATTTAAATGGTTGAGTTGTTTGATTTAGTACTCAAGGTTTTTATAGAGGGTAAAGAAGATCCTGACAATTCAATGTAACACAGTCATACTATTTTTCAATAACTACTGATTTATTCTCCAGCACTGGCTTTGCTTTAATAATAGTAGTGATTGAAATTTCAATTTTCTTGGTAATCATGTTTTATAGCTTCTCTCTTCTGATCCCTCAATTTTTCATAAAGCAATCAGCTTTCCATATCAGATACAAGGATGTACTTCTGTCTATTTAACTTTTTTGGTGCCATAATTGACACCTTGGTGAAATGTGCATAGTGGACTGGGAAGCATGTGTAATCTGGGTTCAGGGATGGTATTTACTGAAAATGAGCTTCTGTTTGTGGGTAGCCATAGGCAAGAGAATTGCAAGTCAGAATGTTGAGAAACACCTGCCTTATAGGCAGTCATGCAAGCATAATTCTGCTTGTTCAAGTTAAGGAACTTCTGCTTTGAAAATTACCCCTCTGGGGCCAGAACTCAGACTAAGCCACCTATAAGAGTACTTCTTTGAGGACAAGATTTTGCTAATATTTTTTATGTGTAACCTGTGTTTAAAAGTGATGTATAATAAGAATTGTAAAGYATTTCACTGTCATTTATTTTTTTTTAAATCAATTAAAAAAAGTGACCACCCAGTTTTGTTGACAAATATTACAGTGCATTATTTAGGAGAAACATTTAGCATTCTGTGGATTGGCCTTTAGGTTTTGGCGCATTTAGGTATATTTGTTCAGTTGGAGAAAGAAGATTGAAGTATTAAAACAGAATTTTAAAAAGAGAAGATATGTTGCTGAGGATGTAGTTCAGTGGTAGAGTGCTTGCCTAGCATGTGGATGTCTTGGGTACCAGCCCTAGTACTACAAAAGAACAGAGGGAGAGAGCAGGGGGAAAAGGAGGAAAGGAAAGAAACTGGACTCTGGAAAAAGATTCAAAAGCTGTGAATTATTTGAATACTCAATTTCAGTAAATTTTGTTCATGGCTTAGAAAGATTTAATTGGAATTTTGAAAGAACTCCTGAAGTTCTTCAAGGTATTCAACCAAAGAATAAATGGAAAAGAAACAAGTATGTGTTTATCTCAATCCCTATACTTTTTGACAGTAACTGGGCAAAACCCTAGGACTTTTGAGAGTACCTTCTTTTAAAACTTYCTGTCCTTTTAAAAGGCAGTTTACCTTCTCAATGATTCTTTGGGGAAGAATATTTAATTTTGTGACCTTTTTATTTTGAAGGGAAAATCATCTTTTATGTATGATTATTGTGTCTTCAAAATCATTTGTCATTTCATTAGTTATTTTTTCTCGTTTTATATTCCTCAAACACATACAATTCTGATCAAAATTCCTGATTCATTCATTTATGTAATAATTTTTGTTAAATTCTGGGTAAGCAGTGATGGAGAAAACAAGACTGTCACACACCTGGATTACAACACAGTGAGGATCCCTGGCCTTATGCTGTCATGAGCCTGTAGCTCATACAGAGAGAGAAGTTCAACAGTGTCAATTCCAAAGAGCTTCACAGTGGAATAAAAAGAAAATGAAGCATGGTAGCCTTTATTTCCAAGGACTTTAGACACCAAGTCATGTTCCATTTGTTTTTTACAAACTTGAGGGAAGAAACTAATTTAGAAAATTTGGGAATAAAACAATCCATTTTTTCTGTATTTCAAGTTTCCTCTATTTTTTGATACTTCTAAATCCTAAAAAATTCTGTAAATAAATATGAAGTGTTTTATTTTGTTTTCTTTTGAGGGTACCAGGGATTAAACCCAGAGGGGCATTAATACACCGCCAGCCCCCTTTTTAAAATTTTTTTTAATTGTTTATTTTGAGACAGATTCTTGTTAAATTGTTGAAGCTGTCTTTGAACTTGTGATCCTCCTGTCTCAGCCTCTCAGATTGTTGGGATTACAGGCCTGCACCACCATTCCTGGCCAACTATGAAGTTGTTTTATTTGTTTGTTTGTTTGTTTACACCGGGGATTGAACCCAGTCCTGCTTAACTACCAAGCCACATCCCCAACCCTTTTTATTTTTTGTTTTGATCAAGGGTCTCACTAAGTTGCTGAGTCTGGCTTTGTATTTTGGATCCTCCTGCCTCAGGCTTCAGAGCTACTGGGATTACAAGTATGGACCACCATATCTGTACATAGTTACACTGCTGCCAAGTATTATAAAGTACAGAGTTTTATGGGTGAGATGACAAGTAAGGTGGCAGCATACATGCAGAGGAGTGTCAAGGAAGACCTTTGTAAGGAAGTGTTACTCAAGCTGAGGTCTAAAGAATAGATAGCTTTGCAGAGTAAGGGTATGGGTGAGGCATAGATAGTATGGAGGGGCAGAGGGCAGATGAGGCCAGTGTATTTTAGAATCAAGGGACCTGGTAGGCAGAAATAAGAGTATCCTGGAGTAGGGAACAKGATTTTATTGTAGGCCAGTGTTGTTAATATTTGTGGTTGATTCTTGTGTGTGTGTGTGTGTGTGTTTGTATGTGTCCATCTTGCATGCATCTTAGGTAGGAATTTAAGACATTTGAAGAACGTAACACACTTAATTCCTGAATATTTCAGCATACATCTCTTAAAAAATAAGAGTAATAGTTATTAATTATTTTAACACAGTGGTTCCTCATTGGAATAACATTGAAACCCCCCCACACACATACTTTGTTTTTTTAATATGTAGACAATATATGCTGGCTATAAAATGCTCAACTAGCACTGAAGTAAATAAAGGCATTCCCTTCCCTGAGAGTAGCTAACTACTGTTTACAGTTTGGTGTGCATTTTTCAAATCTTGTAAGCACATATAAAT